AATTTCTTTTCATTTGGATCTCTTTCTTCTTCATTTTGTTTCTTTCTTTTTCTTAAATCCTTTTTTCTTTCTCATTTTCCTTTCTTTCTTCTTCATTTTCTTTCTTTCTTCATTTCTTTCATTTCCTTCTTTCTTTCTCATTTGGGAATTTCTCTTTCTTAAAATTTCTCTTTCTTTCTTTTCCAAAACATTATCCTTATTTCTTTTCTCCTTTTTCTTTTTCTTCTTCATTTCTCTTTCTTTTCCAATTTTCTTATTTTTTCTCATTTGCCTTTTTCTTCTTTTTTCTCTCTCTTTCTTCATTCCATCATTATTTTTTTTTCTTTTTTCATTTGCGTCTCTTTTCTTCTTCATTTCTCTTTCTTTCTTCATTTCTTTGATTATCCTTATTTTCTTTCTCATTTTCTCTTTTTTCTTCATTTCTCTCTTCTTTTTCATTCTTAAATTTCCTTCTTTTCTTTTCCTCATTTTCTTCTCTTCTTTTTTTTTTTTCATTTTTTTTTCCTTATTTCTCTTCTCATTTCATTCTTTCTTCTTCATTTCTCCTTCTATTCTTCATTTTTTTTTTTTCCTTATTTCTTTTTCTTCTCTTTCTTCTTCATTTTCTTCTTTTCTTCATTCCTTTTTATCCTTATTTCTTTCTCATTTGCATTCTCTTTCTTCTTCATTTCTCTTTCTTTCTTCATTTCTTACATTTCCTTATTTTCTTTCTCATTTTCTTCTCTTTCTTCTTCATTTCTCTTTCTTTTCGTTTTATTCCTTATATTATCCTTATTTCTTTCTCATTTCTCTCTTTTCTGAAAAATTTTTCTTTCTTTCTTCATTCCTTTCATTTTCCTTTTTTATTTCTCATTTTACATGCTCTTTTTTTCTTCATTTCTCTTTCTTTCTTCATTCCTATTTCCTTATTTCTTTCTCATTTGCGTTTCTTTCTTTCTTCATTTCTATCTTTCTTATTCTTTCTTTTATTTTTATTTCTTTCTCATTTACGTCTCTTTCTTTTCTTTCATTTCTCTTTCTGAATCATTCAAAATAATTATCCTTACTTTCTTTCTCATTTGCATTTCTCTTTCTTAAAAAAGAAATTTCTCTTTTTTATAACTTTTTTTACATTATCCTTATTTCTTTCTCATTTTCTTTCTCTTTTCTTCTTCATTTCTCTTTCTTTCTTTTTTTTTTACATTTATCCTTTCTTTTTTTCTCTTTCTTTCTTTTTTTCTTTTTTCATTTCTTCTTTCTTTCTCATTTCAGGCTTCTTTCTTCATTTCTCATTTTCCTTTTATCCTTTCTTTCTTTTCGTCTCTTTCTTCATTTTTCGTTCTTCTTTCTTCATTTTATTTCTTTCTCATTTCTCTTTCTTCTTCATTTCTTTTCTTTCTTTTTCCTTGTTTTCCTTTTTCTTTCTCATTTGCCTCTTTCTTTTCTTCATTTCTTTTCTTCATTCTTCATTTCCTTTTTTCTTTTCTTTTTCTCTTTCTTCTTTTTCTTTTTTTTTACATCTTATTTCTTTCTCATTTGTCTCTTTCTTTTCTTCCTTTCTTTTCCTTCCTTTTATCTTTATTTCTTTCTCCTTTTGCTTCTCTTTCTTCTTCATTTCTCTTTCTTTCTTCATTCCTTTAAATTATCCTTATTTCTTTCTCATTTTTTTCTTTCTTTTTCTATTTCTCTTCTTGTTCTTTTCTTTCTTTCTCTTTCATCTTTCCTTATTTCTTTTTTCTCATTTTATCTCTTTTCTTTTCTTTTCATTTCTCTTTCTTTTTTCATTCCTTACATTTCCTTATTTCTTTCTCATACATTTCTTTTTCTTCTTCTTTCTCTTCTTTCTTCATTCCTTACATTATCCTTTTTTTTCTCATTTCCATCTTTTCTTTCTTCATTTCTTTCTTTCTTCTTCTTTTACTTTCATTTCCTTATTTTTTCCTCATTTGCTTCTCTTTCTTCTTCATTTGTCTATCTTTTCTTCTTTCCTTACATTATCCTTATTTCTTTCTCATTTTCTTTCTCTTTCTTCTTCATTTCTCTTTTCTTTCTTCATTTCTTACATTATCCTTATTTTCTTTCTCATTTGCTTTTCTTTCTTCTTCATTTCTCTTTCTTTTTTCATTTCCTTCATTATACATTTTATTTCTTTTTATTTTTCATTTCTTTTCTATCTATTTTTCATTTCTTGTTTCTTCCTTCTTTTTCTTTCTCATTTGCTTCTTCTTTCTTTCTTCTTTTATTTTTTTCTTTCATTATCCTTATTTCTTTTTCTTTTCTTCTCTTTCTTTCTTCATTTTCCTTATCTTTCTAGGTTTCCTTCTTTTCCTTTTTTCTTTTCTTCATTTCATCTTCATTTTTTCTTTCATTTTTTTTCCTTCTTTTTTTCTTTCTCATTTTTCTTTCTTTCTCTTTCATTTCTCTTTCTTTTTCATTCCTTACATCAATCCTTATTTCTTTTTCATTTCTTTTCTTTTCTTTTTCTTTTCTCTTTCTTTTTTCATTCTTACATTATCTTATTTCTTTCTCCCCTTCTCTTTTTTCATTTCTCTTTCTTTCTTCTTTTCTTTTTCCTTCTTTTCTTTTCTTTCTTTCATTTTCTTTTTCTCTTTCTTTCTTCATTCTTACATTTTCCTTTTTCTTTCTTTTGCTTCTTTTCATTTCTCTTCTTTTCTTTTCCTTCATTATCTTTTTTCTTTCTCATTTTCTTTTCTTTTCTTCTTGTTTTCTCTTTCTTTCTTCTTTTCCTTTCATTATCCATTTTGCTTTCTCATTTTTCTATTTCTTCTTCATTTCTCTTTCTTTCTTCATTCCTTACATTATCCTAATTTCTTTCTCATTTCTTTTCTTTCTCTTTCATTTCTCTATCTTTCTGGATTTCTTTCTTTCTTACATTTCTTTTCTTTTTTCTTTCTTTTCATTTCTCTATCTTCCTCTTAAACATTTCCTTATTTCTTTCTCATTTGCTTTTCTTTTCTTCTTCATTTTTTCTTTCTTTTTTTTCTTTCCTTACATTATCCTTATTTCTTTCTTTTTTCTCTTTCTTCTTCATTTCTCTATCTTTCTTTTCTTAAATTTCTTTTTATTCTTTTTGCTTTCTTTTCTTTTTTTCTCTTTTCTTCATTTATTTTCCTTCTTTCTTGGAATTTCTTTCTTTCTTCTTCATTCTCTATCTTTCTTCATTCCTTAATTTTATTCTTATTTCTTTCTCATTTCCTTCTCTTTCTTCTTCATTTCTTTCTTCCTTCATTCCTTCATTTCTTCTTTCTTTCTTTTTTCTCTTCTTCATTCATTTTTCTTTCTTTTTTCATTTTAATTTAATTTTTCTTTCTCTTCCTTCATTTCTTCTTTATTTGAATATTTCTTTATTTTCATTTTTTATTTCTTTCTCTTTTCTTTTCTTTCTTCATTTCTCTTTCTTTCTTCATTTCTTACATTATCCTTTTCTTTCTCATTTCGTTTCTTTCTTCATTTTTTTCTTTTTTTTTTCTTCTCTGTATTTCTTTCTCTTTCTCCATTATTTCTTTCTCATTTCCTTCTCTTTCTTTCTCTTTCATTTCTTTCTTTCTTTTTTTCTTCCTTTTTTCTTCCATTTCTTTCTTTTTTCATTTCTCTCTTTTTCTTCATTTCTCTATCTTTTCTTCATTTTACATTTTCCTTCTTTTCTTTCTCATTTTCTCTCTTTTCTTCTACATTTCTTTCTTTTCTTTATTCCTTACATTTCCTTATTTCATTTTTCTCATTTGCGTCTCTTTTTTCTTCATTTCTCTACATTTTTCTTCATTTTTACATTATTCTTATTTCTTTTTTTTTCGTCTCTTTTTCTTCATTTTCATTTTCTCTTTCCTTTCTTCATTTTTACCATTATCCTTATTTTTTTTCTCATCATCTTCTCTTTTTCTCATTTTTCTAAATTCTTCTTTTTTCATTCCTACATTATCCTTATTTCTTTTCATTTTCTTCTTTTTCTTCTTCATTTCTGTTTCTTTTTTCATTCCTTTCTTCATTATCCTTATTTCTTTCTCATTTTCGTTCTTTCTTCTTCTTCTCTTTCTTTTCTTTCTTCATTCCTTCATTTCCTTATTTCTTTCTCTTTTTTTTCTTTTCTTCTTCCTTCTTTCTTTTTTCTTTCTTTCTTCTTCTTTCCCTTCTTCTTTCTCATTTCCTTATTCTTTTTCTTCATTATTTCTTTTTCTTTCTTTATCATTATCCTTCTTTCTCATTTTCTCTTTGCATTTCTCTTTCTTTCTTCCTTTCCTTCTTTTTATTTCTTTCTCATTTCTTCTTATTTCTTTTTCATTTTTCTTTTCTTTATCAATCCATGTTATCCTTATTTCTTTTCTCAATTTCTTTTTTATTTCTTCATTTCTTTCTTCATTCCTTACATTATCCTTTTTTCTTTTCATTTCTTTTCTTCATTTTCCTCTCTTTCTTCTTCATTTCTCTATCTTTCTTTTTTTTTCCTTACATTTTTCTTAATTTTTATTTCTTTCTCTTTAAATCTCTTTCTTCTTTCTTTCTTTCTTCATTCCTTACATTATCCTTATTTCTTTCTCATTTTCCTCTTTTTCTTCTTCATTTCTCTTTCTTTCTTCATTTCCTTATTATCCTTATTTCTTTTCATTTTTCTTTTTCTTCTTCATTTCTACCTTTCTTCATTTCCTTCATTATCCTTATTTCTTTTCATCATTTGCTTTCTCTTTCTTTTCATTCCTCTTTCTAAATTATTCTTCATTTCCTAATTTCTTTCTCATTTTCTTTCTCTTTCTTCTTCATTTTCTATCTTTTTCATTCATTTCATAATCCTTATTTCTTTCTCATTTTCATATTTCTTTCCGGATTTCTATCTCCTTCTATTTTTCTTCATTTCCTTCATTTTTCCTCTTTCTTTTCTCACCACGTATCAAAAAAAATTTTCTCTTTCTTTTCTTTCAAACAACGCTCTTATCTTCATTTTTCTATTTTCTCATTTTGCCTCTCTTTTTTCTTCATCTTTTTATCTTTTCTTCATTCAAAAAATTATGAAAATTTCTTTCATTTTCGTCTCTTTCTTCTTCATTCTCTATTTTTTTTATTTCTTACATTATCCTTATTTCTTTCTCATTTGCGTCTTTTTCTTCTTCATTTCTCTGATTCTTTCTTCATTCCTTTCGGACCTTATTTTCTTTCTCATTTTATAAGATTTCTTAAATTTCTCTATCTTTCTTCATTAGATAGATTATAGATAGACTTCTTTCTCATGCCTCTCTCTTCTTCATCTCTTCATTTCCTTCACAGATTCATTATCCTTATTTCTTTCTCATTTGCGTCTGAATCTTCATTTCTCTATCATTTTCTATTTTCTTCATTCCTTACATTATCCTTATTTCTTTCTCATTTGAATTCTTCTTCATTTCTCTATTTCTTCATTCTTCATTCTTGAATTATCCTTCATAGATTTTCATTTGAATCACATTAGATATTTCTTCATTCTCTCTATCTTTCTTACATTCCTTGCATTATCCCTAGATTGATCTTTCTCATTGCGTCTCATTCTTCTTCATTTCTAGTTTCTTTACATAGAAAACATTATCTTATTTCTTTCTCATTTATCTCTTTCTTCATCTCTCTACCTTTCTTCATTCCCTTATACCTTATTTCTTTCTCATTTCCGTCTCTTTTCTGAATTTCTCTTTCTTCCCTAGACTCCTTAGATTATAAACTTATTTCTTTCTCATTTGAATCTCTTTCTTCTTCATTTCTCTTTCTTTCTTCATTTAGATTATCCTTATTTCTTTCTTTTGTCTCTCTTTCTTCTATCTATCTTTCTTCATTCTCATTATACTTATTTCTTTATCATTTAGATTTCTTCCTCATTTCTTTCTTCGGTGTCGATTCCTTACAATATCCTTATTTTTCAAAATTTGAAAATCTCTTTCTTCTTCATTTTTTAGATTTTTGTAATACTTATTTCTTTCTCATTGCATCTGTGTGTTCTTCATTTCTCTGTATTGTTCTTGTGTGTGTCCTTATTTCTTTCTCATTTGTGTGTTCTTTCTTGTGTTTCTCTATCCTTTCTTCATGTGTCATTTTTCCTTATGCCTTTGTCCCATTTTTCTCTTTTCTTCATTTCTATTCCTTGCATTTCCTTATTTCTTTCTCATTTGCCTCTCTTTCTTCTTCATTTCTCTCAGTCTTTCTTCATTTCTTAACATTATCCTTAATTTCTTTCTCATTTGCTTTCTTTCTTCTTCATTTTTTCTTTCTTCATTCCTTACATTATCCTTATTTCTTTCTCATTTCGTCCTCTTTCTTCTTCATTTTCTCTTTTTTTCATGAGATAAATTATCCTTATTTCTTTTCTCAATTGCGTCTCTTTCTTCATTTCTCTTTCTTTCTTCATTTCTTATTTCTTTTATCATTGGAATCTCCTTCTTCATTTCTCATTCTTTCTTCATACTTCATTGTCCTTATTTCTTTCTCATTTCTATAATCTTTCTTCATTAATTTTGTCTGCATTCCTTATTATCTTATTTTCTCATTTGCTTCTCTTTCTTCTTCATTTCTCTTCTTTCTTCGTTACCTTACACCACCCTTATTTTTTTCTCATTTGCTTCTCTTTCTTCTTCATTTCTGTTTCTTTCTTCTTTACCATTATCCTTTTTTTCTTTCTCATTTGCCTCTCTTCTTCATTTCTCTTTCTTTCTTCCTTTCCTTATTTTCTTTCTCATTGCATCTCTTTTCTTCTTCATTTCTCTATCTTTAATCTTTTCCTAAAATTATGCTTATTTTTTAAAATTTTCGTCACTTTTCTTCTTCATTTCTCTTTCTTTCTTAATTCCTTAATTATACTTATTTCTTTCTCATTACGTCTCTTTCTACTTCATTTCTAAAATTTTTTCATTTCCTTATATTATCCTTATTTCTTTCTCATTTGCGTTCTTTCTTCTTCATTTCTCTTTCTTCCTTCTTATTATTTTCCTTATTTCTTTTCTCATTTGTCTCTTTCTTCTTCATTTCTCTATCTTTTCTTCATTCCAAATTATCCTTTTCTTTCTCATTTGCATCTCTTTCTTCGACAATTCTACAGCATTTCTTCATTTTTTTTTATCCTTATTTCTTGCATCATTTGCTTCTCTTTCTTTTCATATTGTTTTTTTTTTTTAGAATTCCTTATTTCTTTTCTCATTAAGGCATTTATTCTTTTTCTTTACTTATCTTTTTTCATTTTCATCTATCCCTTATTCAGTTTGTCTTAATTTACATATTCTTTTATTTGTTTCTTCTTTCCTTCATTTTCTTTATTTCTTTCATTTTCTTTTCTTCTTCTCTCTTTCTTTCTTCATTTCTTAACATTATCCTTATTTCTTTCTCATTTTATCTCTTTTCTTCTTCATTTCTCAATCTTTCTTCATTCCCTTACATTATCGGTATTTCTTTCTCATTTGCATCTCTTTTCTTCATTCTCTTTCTTTCTTCATTCCTTACTTTTTCCTTATTTCTTTTCTCATTGCATCTCTTTCTTCTTCATTTCTCTATCTTTCTTCATTCCTTACATTATCCTTATTTCTTTCTCATTGCGTCTCTTTCTTCTCATTTCTCTTTTTTTCCTTCATTCCTTACATTATCCTTATTTCTTTCTCATTTGCTTCTCTTTTCTTCTTATTTCTCTTTCTTTCTTCATTTCTTACATTTCCTTATTTCTTTTCTCATTAAATTTCATTTCTTCTTCATTTCTCTTTCTTTTTCTTCTTTCCTTCCTTTGACATTTTCTCTTTCTTCTTATTTTCTTCTTTCATTTTACATTATCCTTATTTTTTTCATTTCATTTTCTCGCCATTTATCTTTTCTTCATTCCTTTCATTATCCTTATTTTCTTTCTACATTTCTTCTCTTTCTTCTTCATTTCTCTCTCTTTTTTTCATTTCTTCTCATTATCCTTTTTCTTTCTCACAAATTTTCTTTTCTCTTTCTTCTTCATTTTCTCTTTCTTTCTTCTTTTCCTTTCAATTATCATATTTCGTTTTCTCATTTGCGTCTCTTTTCTTCTTCATTTCTCTTTTTCTTTCTTCATTTCTTTCATTTTCCTTTTTTCTTTCTCATTTGCATCTCTTTCTTCTTTTTTCTTCCTTTCTTCTTCTTCCTTTTCTGTTCTTTTTCTTCTCATTTTTCTTCCTTTTCTTCCTTCTTTCATTTCTTCTCTTTATTCGTTTTCTTTCCTTTTCTTCCTCCTTTTCTTTTAATTTTTCTTCTTCATTTCTTCCTTTTCATTTTTCTTTTCATTATATCTTCCCGCCATTTCTCGTTTCTCCTTCCTACTCTTCTCAGGATTTCTTTCTGTTCGTATTTTTCTAATATTTCTCTTTCATTTTTCTTTTTCGGTAAAGGCTTTTCATTTGCTGGTATTTTTCTCATTTCCTTTCTTTTCGTCATTTGACATATCCTGTTTCTTTCTTTTTCATTTCTTTCTTTCATTGTCTTTTTTTTTTCATTCAGTCTTCTATATATATATATATCGTTTTAGATAGATAGAATAACATATAGACAGACTCTTCTAAATAGATAGAATAATAGATTCTAATTTTCACAGATTCATAAGATAACTGTTTATCCTTTTCATTCAATCTTCAAAAAAAAGCCAAATTTTCTTCCTGCTCTTCTCAAAGTGACATTTCTGTTCTTATTTTTTCTTCTTCATTTCATGTTCTTTCATTTTTCTTTTCATACCTTTTTTCCCTTTGGTATTTTTTTTGATTATTTTGCTTTCTTTTCTTCATTTCGGATTTATAATTTCCTTCTTTTTTCCTTTTTTCTATTCAAATAGATTCCTTTTATTATTAGATTCTTCCTTCCTTTTCTTCTTTCTTTTCTTGACAGATCAATTTTGCTTCCTTTTCAGATAGATTCATTTCTTTCATTTATCTTAGATTCATTAGATCTTCTTTTCTAGATGAATTTTCACAATTAGATATTATTTTAGATTCTTTCTAATTTTTCTTATATAAGAAATATAGATTTTATCTTTTTTGGCCAATAGATAGGATAGGCTGTATAGACGTTAACAGAGATAGATCTAATAAAAATAAATATTCAAAGTGGATATTTTTAAACACAGATCCATTTCTAGACAGGCTGTAGATAGATCTGGACATAATCGTCAGGCGGCCTGAGAATTGACTCGGATAGCATGAAAGAGCTTCTCAAAGGGATAGACAGATATATCTTATTTTTTCATATATATATTTCTAAATTTATTTATCTTTAGATGGATAAATATATATATAGATCGTTTCTCGAATATCTTCTCTATCTAATCTATATTCTATCTATCTTTATAGATAGATAGATAAATAGATAGAATAATAGATGAAAGTCTTGAGTATGTATCAGTTTTTGAGATGTGGTGAAATACTCTTCTCCAAATAAAATATTCTTTTCAAAATATTTTCTGATTCTTAGATAAACCTAGAAAGCCAGACAAACCTGAGGAGTTTCATTTCCCTGTGTGTGTGTGTGTTTGTGTGCCTGTGTGTGTGTGAAAATTGTGTTCTCATTTTCAATAAACAAAAACCGTGTGTGTGTCACAAAAAAAATGAAAAAATCTAACAAACATGCTATCGTTTTTCTGTGCCTTTTTCAAAGTGACTGCAATTCTGTTCTACATTTTTTTTCTTCTTCATTACTTTCTTTGATTTATCTTTTTCAATTCAGTCTTCTAAAATAAATTAAATTCGTTTTAGAAAGACTAAAAGTTAATTCAAAACAAACATTCTTTTTAAATTTTTTAAAACTTCTTCATTTCTTTGGTTCTTTCTTTTTTTATACCTCCTTTCGGCATAAAATCGTTTTGGTTTGATAAGAGATAAATGGTCATATTAAAAAACTGAATTTTTCTAATAGATTAAACTTTCTTTCATTTATCTTTTTTAAGATTTTCTTAAATATATTTACCTAGATCTCTTCTAGATAGATATTCATGTTCATCAATTAATCTTCATATCTGCTAAACACAATTATCTTTTTCATTTGAATGAATAGATGAATCTGTAGATAGCTGTTTTTCTCGTTAGATTACCATGAATACCGATAATTTTTGATAAATAGATTCTTTTCTAGATTGTTTTCGTTTTTTCATTTTCCTTTAAGATTAAATCACAGATTTTTCATCACTACTATTCTCTTCTAAAAACTATTCATTCTTATTTGAATTCATGAATTTCTTTAATTCCCCATGTATAATTTTTCATTCAATCTTCTCTCCTAAAATCGTTTTCTATTTTGAAAATCTTCTTGAATATATTCTTTTCTAATTTTTTCATTCATCATTTTCTTTCTTTTCATTTATCTTTTTTCATTCGGTCTTCTCTTCATCTCTATGGTTTTCATAAGGTTTAAACTCTTCTCCAATATGACATATTCTTTAGATATTTTGAATAATTCTTCTTTTATTTTCATTTATCTTTTTTCATTCAATCTTCCCATATGATATCATTTCTCCTTCTTTCTTCTCAATCGCCGATATATTAATTTTTCTCATTTTTCTTCTAGATTTTCTTTCATTTCTTTAGAAATGACCATGAAACGGCATTTTTTTCTTCTTCTACTCTTCATCTAGAAGTTTTACATATTCTTTTCTAATTTTCTTCTTAGATTTCTTTTCTTTCATTATTTTCATATTTTCTTTTCTTTGGTGAATCGTTTTCTCCTTCTACCTCTTCTCAAAATGACATATTCTGTTCTTATTTTCTTTCAGCCGGTTTCTTTCTTTCATTTATCTTTTTCATTCTTTTCTTTCGCCATGCTATCGTTTTTCACTTCTACTATTCTCAAAGTAACATATTCTGTTCTCATTTTTTTTCTTCTTCATTTCTTTCTTTCATTTGTCTTTCATTCAGTCTTTTCTCATTATCATTTTCTCACTTCCTACTCTCTCTTCTCAAAGTGACATATTCTTTTCTTCATTTTTTTCTTCTTCATTTCTTTCTTTCATTTATCTTTTTGACAATCTTCTCGCCATGCCTATCAATTTTCTCACTTCTACTCTTCTCAAATTAACATATTCTTTCAAATTTTTCTTCTTCATTTCTTTCTTTCATTTATCTTTTTCATTCAATCTGTATCGCCAATTTCTATCGTTTTCTCTTCCTACTCTTCTCAAAGTGACATATTCTTTTCTCATTTTTCTTCTTCATTTCTTTTTTTTTCATTTTATCTCTTTTTCGTTTCTATATCTTATATCTGGAACCTCTTTTTCTAATTTTCTTTTCATTCTTTCTCAAATTAATCAAATATTCTATTTAATTTTTCTTCTTCATTTCTTTCTTTCATTTATCTTTTTTCATTAAATTCATTCCGCGATGCTATCGTTTTCTCTTCCTACTCTCTTCTCAAAGTGACATATTCTGTTTCTCATTTTCTTATTTCATTTCTTTCTTTCATTTTATCTTTTCATCTTCTTACATGCTATCGTTTTTCTCATTTCCTACTCTTCTCAAAGTGAAATATTCTTTCTAATTTTTCTTCTTGTATTTTCTTTTCATTTATCTTTTTTCATTCAATCTTCCCGCCATGCTATCGTTTCTCACTTCTCTCTTCTCAAGTGAAATATTCTTTTCTTATTTTTCTTCTTCATTTCTTTTCTTTCATTTATCTTTTTTCATTAAATCTTCGCCATGCTATCGTTTTTTTCTCACTTTTCTACTCTTCTCAAAGTGACATATTCTTTTCTCTTCTTTTCTTCTTCATTTTATTTTTCATTTGTATTTCATTTTTCTTTCATTGATTGTCTTCTCGCCATGCTATCATTTTCTACCATTCCTACTCTCTTCAAAAGTGACATATTCTTTTAATTTTTTCTTCTAATTTTTTCTTTCTTTTTTTTTATCTTTTTCATTCAATCTTCCCGCCATGCTATCGTTTCTCACTTCCTTTCTTCAAAAGTGACATATTCTTTTCTATTTTTTCTTCTTCATTTCTTTCTTTCATTTCCTTCTTTTAATAAAAATCTTGCTATCGTTTTCTCACTTTCCTACTATTCTCAAAGTCATATTCTGTTTCTCTTTTTCTTCTTCATTTTCTTTCTTTCATTTTCTTTTTTCATTCAGTCTTCTACATGCTATCGTTTTCTTCCAGTCTTCTCTTCTCAAAGTGACATATTCTTTTTCTAATTTTCTTCATTTCTTTCTTTCATTTTATCTTTTTCATTAATCTTCCCCGCCATGCTATCTCGTTCCCGCTCCTTTCTACTCTTCTCAAAGTGACATATTTTTCTTCATTTTCTTCTTCATTTCTTTCTTTCATTTTATCTTTTTCATTCAATCTTCCCTACCATATCTCGTTTTCTCACTTCCTACTCTTCTCAAAGTGACATATTCTGTTCTCATTTTCTTCTTCATTCTTTCTTTCATTTATCTTTTTTCATTCAATCTTCTCGCCATGCTATCGTTTCTCACTTCCTACTCTTCTCAAAGTAAAATATTCTTTTCTAATTTTCTTCTTCATTTCTTTCTTTCATTTATCTTTTTTTTTCATTAAATCTTCCCTATCTATCGTTTTCTCACTTCCTACTCTTCTCAAAAGTGACATATTCTGTTCTCTATTTTTTCTTCTTCATTTCTTTCTTTCATTTTATTTTTTCATTAAGTCTTCTCGCCATACTATCGTTTTTCTTCTCCTACTCTTCTCAAAGTGAAATATTCTTTCTAATTTTCTTCTTCATTTTCTTTCTTTCATTTATCTTTTTTCATTCAATCTTCTCGCCATGCTATCGTTTTCTCACTTCCTACTCTTCTCAAGTAAAATATTCTGTTCTAATTTTTCTTCTTCATTTCTTTCTTTCATTTATTCTTTTTTCATTCAATCTTCCCGCCATGCTATCGTTTTCTCTCACTTCCTGCTCTTCTCAAAGTGACATATTCTGTTCTTATTTTCTTTCTTCATTTCTTTCTTTCATTTATCTTTTTTCATTCAATCTTCTCGCCATGCTATCGTTTTCTCACTTCCTACTCTTCTCAAAGTGACATATTCTGTTTCAAATTTTTTTCTTCTTCATTTCTTTCTTTCATTTTATTTTTTTCATTCAATCTTCTCGCCATACTATCGTTTTCTCACTTCCTACTCTTCTCAAAGTAACATATTCTTCTCTAATTTTTCTTCTTCATTTCTTTCTTTCATTTTTTTTTTTTTCATTCAATCTTCACGCCAGGCTGTCGTTTTCTCACTTCCTACTCTTCTCAAAGTGACATTCTGTTCTAATTTTCTTCTTCATTTTCTTCATCATTTTCTTTCTTTCTTTTTTCATTCAATCTTCCCGCCATGCTATCGTTTTCTCTTCCTACTCTTCTCAAGTGAAATATTCTTTTCTCATTTTTTCTTCTTCATTTCTTTCTTTCATTTATCTTTTTTTCATTCAATCTTCTTTTGTGATGCTATCGTTTTCTCCTTCCTACTCTTCTCAAAGTGACATATTCTGTTCTAATTTTCTTCTTCATTTCTTTCTTTCATTTATCTTTTTTTCATTAAATCTATCACGCCATTTTTTCTCCTTCCTACTCTTCTCAAAGTGACATATTCTTTTCTCATTTTTTTTCTTCATTTCTTTCTCTTTCATTTATCTTTTTCATTCAGTCTTCTCGCCATGCTATCGTTTTCTCACTTCCTACTCTTCTCAAAGTGAAATATTCTTTTCTAATTTTTCTTCTTCATTTCTTTCTTTCATTTATCTTTTTTCATTCAATCTTCCCGCCATGCTATCGTTTCTCACTTCCTACTCTTCTCAAAGTGACATATTCTGTTTTTTCTTCTTCATTTCTTTCTTTCATTTATCTTTTTTCATTTCAATCTTCCCGCCATGCTATCGTTTTTAGATACTTCCTCTTCAAAAAGTGACATATTCTTTTCTAATTTTTCTTCTTCATTTCTTTCTTTCATTTATCTTTTTCATTCAATCTTGGTTTGCTATCGTTTTCTCACTTCCTACTCTTCTCAAAAAAGTGACATATTCTTTTCTCATTTTTCTTCTTCATTTCTTTCTTTCATTTTATCTTTTTTCATTCAATCTTCTCGCCATGCTATCGTTTTCTCACTTCCTACTCTTCTCAAAGTGACATATTCTTTTCTAATTTTTTCTTCATCATTTCTTTCTTTCATTTATCTTTTTTCATTCAATCTTCTCGCCATGCTATCGTTTTTTCACTTCCTACTCTTCTCAAAGTGACATATTCTGTTCTCATTTTTCTTCTTCATTTCTTTCTTTCATTTATCTTTTTCATTCAGTCTTCTCGCCATGCTATCGTTTCTCACTTCCTCTCTTCTCAAAGTGAAATATTCTTTTCTATTTTTTTCTTCATTTCTTTCTTTCATTTTATCTTTTTCATTCAATCTTCCGCCATGCTTCGTTTTCTCACTTCCTACTCTTCTCAAAGTGACATATTCTGTTCTCATTTTTTCTTCTTCATTTCTTTCTTTCATTTTATCTTTTTCATTCAATCATTCGCCATGCTATCGTTTTTCTCACTTCCTACTCTTCTCAAAGTGAAATATTCTGTTCTAATTTTCTTCTTCATTTCTTTCTTTCATTTATCTTTTTCATTCAATCTTCTCCGCCATGATAATCGTTTTTCACTTCCTACTCTATTCTCAAAGTGACATATTCTGTTCTCATTTTTTTCTTCTTCATTTCTTTCTTTCATTTATCTTTTTCATTCAATCTTCTCGCCATGCTATCGTTTTTCTCATTCCTACTCTTCTCAAAAGTGACATATTCTTTTCTCATTTTTCTTCTTCATTTCTTTCTTTTCATTTATTTTTTTCATTCAGTCTTCTCATTGCATTCTTTCATTTTCTCACTTCCCTGAACTCTTCTCAAAGTGACATATTCTTTTCTAATTTTCTTCTTCATTTCTTTCTTTCATTTTTTTTTTTTCATTCAATCTTCTCGCCATGCTATCGTTTTCTCACTTCCTACTCTTCTCAAAGTGACATATTCTTTTCTAATTTTTCTTCTTCATTTCTTTCTTTCATTTTATCTTTTTTCATTCAATCTTCCCTGCCATGCTATCGTTTTCTCACTTCCTACTCTTCTCAAAGTTCCATATTCTGTTCTAATTTTTCTTCTTCATTTATTTTTCTTTCATTTATCTTTTTTCATTCAATCTTCCCGCCATGCTATCGTTTCTCCTTCTACTACTCTTCTCAAAGTGAAATATTCTTTTCTAATTTTTCTTCTTCATTTCTTTCTTTCATTTATCTTTTTTTTTCATTCAATCTTCTCGCCATGCTATATCGTTTTCTCACTTCCTACTCTTCTCAAAGTGACATATTCTTTTCTAATTTTCTTCTTCATTTCTTTCTTTCATTTATCTTTTTCATTCAATCTTGACGCCATGCTATCCGTTTTTTCTCACTTCCTACTCTTCTCAAAGTGACATATTTTCTCATTTTTTTCTTCATTTCTTCATTTCTTTTTTTTCTTTTATTTTTTTTCATTTCAGTCTTCTCGCCATGCTATCGTTTCTCACTTCCTACTCTTCTAAAATACATATTCTTTTCTTATTTTCTTCATTTCTTCATTTTTCTTTCATTTATCTTTTTTTCTTTCAATCTTCAAAACATAATTATCTTTTTTCTCACTTCCTACTCTTCTCAAAGTGACATATTCTTTCATTTTTCTTCTTCATTTCTTTCTTTCATTTTATCTTTTTCATTCAATCTTTTTATATGCTATCGTTTTTCTCACTTCCTACTCTTCTCAAAGTGACATATTCTTTTTCTCATTTTTCTTCTTCATTTCTTTCTTTTTTTATCTTTTTTCATTCATTCTTATTCCGCCATGCTATCGTTTTCTCACTTCTCTTCTTCTTTGACATATTCTTTCTTATTTTTCTTCTTCATTTTCTTTCTTTCATTTATTTTTTTCATTCAGTCTTCTTCGCCATGCTATCGTTTTCTCATTTCCTACTATTCTCAAAGTGACATATTCTGTTCTCATTTTTTTCTTCTTCATTTCTTTTCTTTCATTTATCTTTTTTTCATTCAATCTTCTCGCCATGCTATCATTTTCTCACTTCCTACTCTTCTCAAAAGTGACATATTCTTTTCTAATTTTTCTTCTTCATTTCTTTCTTTCATTTATTTTTTTTTTTCAATCTTCCCATCATACTATCGTTTTCTTCTTCCTACTCTTCAAAAGTGACATATTGTTCTAATTTTCTTCTTCATTTCTTTCTTTCATTTATCTTTTTTCATTAAATCTTCACGCCATGCTATCGTTTTTCTCACTTCCTATTCTAAATTTGTCCTATTCTTTTAAAAAACTTTGACATATTCTGTTCTCATTTTTCATTTTCTTCATTTTTCAAAATGATATATTCTTTCTAATTTTTCTTCTTTTCATTCATTTATCTTCTCGCTCAAAACTATCGTTTTCTCACTTCCTACTCTTCTCAAAGTGAAATATTCTTTTCTAATTTTTCTTCTTCATTTCTTTCTTTCATTTATCTTTTTTTCATTCAATCTTCTCGCCATGATATCGTTTTCTCCTTCCTACTCTTCTCAAAGTGACATATTCTTTTCTTATTTTTCTTCTTCATTTCTTTCTTTCATTTATCTTTTTTTCATTCAATCTTCCCGCCATGCTATCGTTTTTCTTTCTTCCTCTTCTCAAAGTGAACATATTCTTTTCTAATTTTTTCTTTTCATTTCTTTCTTTTCATTTATCTTTTTTCATTCAATCTTCCCGCCATGCTATCGTTTTCTCACTTCCTACTATTCTCAAAGTGACATATTCTGTTCTCATTTTTCTTCTTCATTTCTTTCTTTTCATTTATCTTTTTCATTCAATCTTCTCGCCATGCTATCGTTTTTTTCTCTTCCTACTCTTCTCAAAGTGAAATATTCTTTCTAATTTTTCTTCTTCATTTTCTTTCTTTCATTTATCTTTTTTCATTAAATCTTCCCGCCATTTGCTATCGTTTTCTCACTTCCTTTTCTTCTCAAAGTGACATATTCTGTTCTTAATTTTCTTCTTCATTTCTTTCTTTCATTTATCTTTTTCATTCAATCTTCTCGCCATGCTATCGTTTTCTCACTTCCTACTCTTCTCAAAGTGACATATTCTGTTCTCATTTTTCTTCTTTCATTTCTTTCTTTCATTTATCTTTTTTTCATTCAATCTTCTCGCCATGCTATCGTTTTTTTCTCACTTCCTACTCTTCTCAAAGTGACATATTCTTTTCTAATTTTTTTCTTCTTCATTTCTTTCTTTTTTTTATCTTTTTTTTCATTCAGTCTTCTCGCCATGCTATCGTTTTCTCCTTCCTACTCTTCTCAAAGTGACATATTCTTTTCTTAATTTTTTTCTTCATTTCTTTCTTTCATTTATATTTTTTCATTCAATCTTCTCCGCCATGCTATCGTTTTCTCACTTCCTACTCTTCTCAAAGTGACATATTCTTTTCTATTTTTTTCTTCTTCATTTCTTTCTTTCATTTATCTTTTTCATTCAATCTTCCCGCCATGCTATCGTTTTCTCACTTCCTATTCTTTAAAAGTGAAATATTCTTTTTAATTTTTCTTCTTCATTTCTTTCTTTCATTTATCTTTTTTCATTTCAATCTTCTCCCGCCATGCTATTTTTTTTCTCACTTCCTACTCTTCTCAAAGTGACATATTCTGTTCTAATTTTTCTTCATTTCTTTCTTTCATTTATCTTTTTTCATTAAATCTTCTCGCCATGCTATCGTTTTCTTCCTACTCTTCTCAAAGTGACATATTCTGTTTTTTTTTTTTCTTCTTCATTTCTTCTTTCTTTCATTTATTTTTTTCATTCAATCTTCTTTTTTAATGCTATCGTTTTTCTTTCTTCCTACTCTTTCATTTCATTTCTTGCCATATTCTTTTCTAATTTTTCTTCTTCATTTCTTTCTTTCATTTATCTTTTTTCATTCAATCTTTCCTTCGCCATGCTATCGTTTTCTCACTTCTACTCTTCTCAAAGTGACATATTCTTTTCTAATTTTTTCTTCTTCATTTCTTTCTTTCATTTATCTTTTTTCATTCAAATCTTCCCGCCATGCTATCGTTTTTCTTCCTACTCTTCTCTATTGTTCTCATTTTTTCTTTATTTCTTTCTTTCATTAATTTTTTTCATTCAATTTCTTTCTTTCATTTTTCTTTTTTTCTCAAATTATTATTCTTTCTTTTTCTTCTTCATTTCTTTCTTTTCATTTATCTTTTTTTCAATCTTCACTTTTTTTCTCTTCTTCAAAGTGACATATTCTTTTCTCATTTTTCTTCTTCATTTCTTTCTTTCATTTATCTTTTTTTCATTCAATCTTTCGCCATGCTATATTTTCTCACTTCCTTCTTTTCAAAGTGACATATTCTTTTTTTTTTTTCTTCTTCATTTCTTTCTTTCATTTTATTTTTTTCATTTCAATCTTCCCGCCATGCTATCGTTTTCTAACTTCCTACTCTTCTCAAAAGTGACATATTCTTTGGATATTTTTTCTTCTTCATTTCTTTCTTTCATTTTATCTTTTTTCATCTTTCTTCTTTTCGCCATGCTATCGTTTTCTCACTTCCTACTCTTCTCAAAGTGACATATTCTTTTCTAATTTTTTCTTCTTCATTTCTTTCTTTCATTTATCTTTTTTCATTCAATCTTCCCGATCATGCTATCGTTTTTCTCCTTCCTACTCTTCTCAAAGTGACATATTCTTTTCTAATTTTTCTTCTTCATTTCTTTCTTTCATTTATCTTTTTTTTCTTTTCTTTCGTTTTTTCTTTCTTCTCCAAATTCATATCGTTTTCTAATTTTCTTCTTCTTTTCTTTCTTGACATATTCATTTCTTCTCATTATTTTCTTCTTCCATCTTCTTTCTATTTTTCTTCTTTTTCTTTCTTTCATTTATCTTTTTCATTCAATCTTTCCCGCCATGCTATCGTTTTTCACTTCCTACTCTTCTCAAAGTGAAATATTCTTTTCTCATTTTTCTTCTTCATTTCTTTTTTCATTTATCTTTTTTCATTCAATCTTCACGCCATGCTATCGTTTTCTCATTTCCTACTCTTCTCAAAGTGACATATTCTGTTCTCATTTTTCTTCTTCATTTCTTTCTTTCATTTATCTTTTTTCATTAAATCTTCACGCCATGCTATCGTTTTCTCACTTCCTACTCTTCTCAAAGTGAAATATTCTTTTCTAATTTTTCTTCTTCATTTCTTTCTTTCATTTATCTTTTTTCATTCAGTCTTCTCGCCATGCTATCGTTTTCTCACTTCCTACTCTTCTCAAAGTGAAATATTCTTTTCTAATTTTTCTTCTTCATTTCTTTCTTTCATTTATCTTTTTTCATTCAATCTTCCCGCCATGCTATCGTTTTCTCACTTCCTACTCTTCTCAAAGTGACATATTCTGTTCTTATTTTTCTTCTTCATTTCTTTCTTTCATTTTTTTTTTTCATTCAATCTTCTCGCCATGCTATCGTTTTCTCACTTCCTACTCTTTATTTTTGAAATATTCTTTTCTAATTTTTTTCTTCATTTCTTTCTTTCATTTATCTTTTTCATTCAATCTTCCCGCCATGCTATCGTTTTTTCACTTCCTACTCTTTCTCAAAGTGACATATTCTGTTCTCATTTTTCTTCTTCATTTCTTTTCTTTCATTTATCTTTTTTTCATTAAATCTTCACGCCATGCTATCGTTTTCTCACTTCCTACTCTTCTCAAAGTGACATATTCTTTTCTAATTTTTCTTCTTCATTTCTTTCTTTCATTTATCTTTTTTCATTCAATCTTCTTCTTCCATGCTATCTTTTTCTCACTTCCTACTTCTTCTCAAAGTGACATATTCTTTTCTAATTTTTTTTCTTCTTCATTTCTTTCTTTCATTTATCTTTTTTCATTCAATCTTCCCGCCATGCTATCGTTTTCTCACTTCTCTCTTCTCAAAGTGACATATTCTGTTCTCATTTTTTCTTCCTTCATTTCTTTCTTTCATTTATCTTTTTTCATTCAATCTTTCCCGCCATGCTATCGTTTTCTCACTTCCTACTCTTCTCAAAGTGACATATTCTTTTCTAATTTTTCTTCTTCATTTTTTTCTTTCATTTAGGTTTTTTTTTCATTCAATCTTCCCGCCATGCTCAATTTTTCTCACTTCCTACTCTTCTCAAAGTGACATATTCTGTTCTTATTTTTCTTCTTCATTTCTTTCTTTCATTTATCTTTTTTTCATTCAATCTTCTCGCCATGCTATCGTTTTTTCACTTCCTACTCTTCTCAAAGTGAAATATTCTTTCTAATTTTTTCTTCTTCATTTCTTTCTTTCATTTATCTTTTTTCATTCAATCTTCCCGCCATGCTATCGTTTTCTCACTTCCTACTCTTCTCAAAGTGACATATTCTGTAATATTTTTCTTCTTCATTTCTTTCTTTCATTTATCTTTTTTCATTCAATCTTCCCGCCATGCTATCGTTTTCACTTCCTACTCTTCTCAAAGTGAAATATTCTTTTCTCATTTTTCTTCTTCATTTCTTTCTTTCATTTATCTTTTTCATTCAATCTTCATTTCGCCATGATATCGTTTTCTCACTTCCTACTCTTCTCAAAGTGAAATATTCTTTTCTAATTTTTCTTCTTCATTTCTTTCTTTCATTTATCTTTTTCATTCAATCTTCCCGCCATGCTATCGTTTTTTCTCACTTCCTACTCTTCTCAAAGTGACATATTCTGTTCTTATTTTTCTTCTTCATTTCTTTCTTTCATTTATCTTTTTTTTTTTTCATTAAATCTTCACGCCATGCTATCGTTTTCTCACTTCCTCTCTTCTCAAAGTGACATATTCTGTTCTATTTTTTTCTTCTTCATTTCTTTCTTTCATTTTTCTTTTTCATTCAATCTTCTCGCCATGCTATCGTTTTTTCTCACTTCCTACTCTTCTCAAAGTGAAATATTCTTTTCTAATTTTTCTTCTTCATTTCTTTCTTTCATTTATCTTTTTTCATTCAATCTTCCCGCCATGCTATCGTTTTCTCACTTCCTACTCTTCTCAAAGTGACATATTCTTTTCTAATTTTTCTTCTTCATTTCTTTCTTTCATTTATCTTTTTTCATTCAATCTTCCCGCCATGCTATCGTTTTTCTCACTTCCTACTCTTCTCAAAGTGACATATTCTGTTCTCATTTTCTTCTTCATTTCTTTCTTTCATTTATTTTTTTCATTCAATCTTCCCGCCATGCTATCGTTTTCTCACTTCCTACTCTTCTCAAAGTGAAATATTCTTTTCTAATTTTTCTTCTTCATTTCTTTCTTTCATTTATTTTTTTTTCATTCAATCTTCTCGCCATGCTATCGTTTTTCTCACTTCCTACTCTTCTCAAAGTGACATATTCTGTTCTAATTTTTTTCTTCTTCATTTCTTTCTTTCATTTATCTTTTTTTTCATTAAATCTTCCCGCCATGCTATCGTTTTCTCACTTCCTACTCTTCTCAAAGTGACATATTCTGTTCTTTTTTTCTTCTTCATTTCTTTCTTTCATTTATCTTTTTTCATTCAATCTTCTCGCCATGCTATCGTTTTCTCACTTCCTACTCTTCTCAAAGTGACATATTCTTTTCTAATTTTCTTCTTCATTTCTTTCTTTCATTTATCTTTTTTTTTTCAATCTTCCCGCCATGCTATCGTTTTCTCACTTCCTACTCTTCTCAAAGTGACATATTCTTTTCTATTTTTTCTTCTTCATTTTCTTTCTTTCATTTATCTTTTTCATTCAATCTTTCCCGCCATGCTATCGTTTTCTCACTTCCTACTCTTCTCAAAGTAACATATTCTGTTCTCATTTTTCTTCTTCATTTCTTTCTTTCATTTATCTTTTTTCATTCAATCTTCTCGCCATGCTATCGTTTTCTCACTTCCTACTCTTCTCAAAGTGAAATATTCTTTTCTAATTTTTCTTCTTCATTTCTTTCTTTCATTTATCTTTTTTCATTCAATCTTCCCGCCATGCTATCGTTTTTCTCACTTCCCTACTCTTCTCAAAGTGACATATTCTGTTCTAATTTTTTTCTTCTTCATTTCTTTCTTTCATTTATTTTTTCATTAAATCTTCTCGCCATGCTATCATTTTTTCTCACTTCCTACTCTTCTCAAAGTGACATATTCTGTTCTAATTTTCTTCTTCATTTCTTTCTTTCATTTATCTTTTTCATTCAATCTTCTCGCCATGCTATCGTTTTCTCTTCCTACTCTTCTCAAAGTGAAATATTCTTTTCTAATTTTTTCTTCTTCATTTCTTTCTTTCATTTATCTTTTTTTCATTCAATCTTCCGCCATGCTATCGTTTTCTCACTTCCTACTCTCTTCTCAAAGTGACATATTCTTTTCTTAATTTTTCTTCTTCATTTCTTTCTTTCATTTATCTTTTTCATTCAATCTTCACGCCATGCTATCGTTTTCTCACTTCCTACTCTTCTCAAAGTGACATATTCTTTTCTAATTTTTTCTTCTTCATTTCTTTCTTTCATTTATCTTTTTTCATTCAATCTTCTCGCCATGCTATCGTTTTCTCACTTCCTACTCTTCTCAAAGTGACATATTCTTTTTTTTTTTCTTCTTCATTTTCTTTCTTTCATTTATCTTTTTTCATTCAATCTTCCCGCCATGCTATCGTTTTCTCACTTCCTACTCTTCTCAAAGTGACATATTCTTTTCTAATTTTTCTTCTTCATTTCTTTCTTTCATTTATCTTTTTTCATTCAATCTTCCCGCCATGCTATCGTTTTCTCACTTCCTACTCTTCTCAAAGTGACATATTCTGTTCTCATTTTTCTTCTTCATTTCTTTCTTTCATTTATCTTTTTTCATTCAGTCTTCTCGCCATGCTATCGTTTTCTCACTTCCTACTCTTCTCAAAGTGAAATATTCTTTTCTAATTTTTCTTCTTCATTTCTTTCTTTCATTTATCTTTTTTCATTCAATCTTCTCGCCATGCTATCGTTTTCTCACTTCCTACTCTTCTCAAAGTGACATATTCTGTTCTCATTTTTCTTCTTCATTTCTTTCTTTCATTTATCTTTTTTCATTCAATCTTCCCGCCATGCTATCGTTTTCTCACTTCCTACTCTTCTCAAAGTGACATATTCTTTTCTAATTTTTCTTCTTCATTTCTTTCTTTCATTTATCTTTTTTCATTCAATCTTCTCGCCATGCTATCGTTTTCTCACTTCCTACTCTTCTCAAAGTGACATATTCTGTTCTCATTTTCTTCTTCATTTCTTTCTTTCATTTATCTTTTTCATTCAATCTTCCCGCCATGCTATCGTTTTCTCACTTCCTACTCTTCTCAAAGTGAAATATTCTTTTCTATTTTTTTCTTCTTCATTTCTTTCTTTCATTTATCTTTTTTTTCATTCAATCTTCCCGCCATGCTATCGTTTTCTCACTTCCTACTCTTCTCAAAGTGACATATTCTGTTCTTATTTTTTCTTCTTCATTTCTTTCTTTCATTTATCTTTTTCATTCAATCTTCTCGCCATGCTATCGTTTTCTCACTTCCTACTCTTCTCAAAGTGAAATATTCTTTCTAATTTTTCTTCTTCATTTCTTTCTTTCATTTATCTTTTTTCATTCAGTCTTCTCGCCATGCTATCGTTTTTTTCTCACTTCCTACTCTTCTCAAAGTGAAATAATCTTTTCTAATTTTCTTCTTCATTTCTTTCTTTCATTTATCTTTTTTCATTCAATCTTCCCGCCATGCTATCGTTTTTTTCACTTCCTACTCTTCTCAAAGTGACATATTCTGTTCTTATTTTTTCTTCTTCATTTCTTTCTTTCATTTATCTTTTTTTCATTAAATCTTTCGCCATGCTATCTTTTTTCTCACTTCCTACTCTTCTCAAAGTGACATATTCTTTTCTTATTTTTCTTCTTCATTTCTTTCTTTCATTTTTTTTTTTCATTCAATCTTCTCGCCATGCTATCGTTTCTTCTTCTTTCTACTCTTCTCAAAGTGAAATATTCTTTTCTAATTTTCTTCTTCATTTCTTTCTTTCATTTATCTTTTTTTTCATTTCAGTCTTCTCGCCATGCTATCGTTTTCTCACTTCCTACTCTTCTCAAAGTGACATATTCTGTTCTTATTTTTCTTCTTCATTTCTTTCTTTCATTTATCTTTTTTCATTAAATCTTCACGCCATGCTATCGTTTTCTCACTTCCTACTCTTCTCAAAGTGACATATTCTGTTCTCATTTTTCTTCTTCATTTCTTTCTTTCATTTATCTTTTTTCATTCAGTCTTCTCGCCATGCTATCGTTTTCTCACTTCCTACTCTTCTCAAAGTGACATATTCTTTTCTAATTTTTCTTCTTCATTTCTTTCTTTCATTTATCTTTTTTCATTCAATCTTCCCGCCATGCTATCGTTTTCTCACTTCCTACTCTTCTCAAAGTGACATATTCTGTTCTTATTTTTCTTCTTCATTTCTTTCTTTCATTTATCTTTTTTCATTAAATCTTCACGCCATGCTATCGTTTTCTCACTTCCTACTCTTCTCAAAGTGACATATTCTGTTCTCATTTTTCTTCTTCATTTCTTTCTTTCATTTTTCTTTTTTCATTTATCTTTTTTTCATGCTATCGTTTTTCTCACTTCCTCTTCTCGACATATGCTATTTTTCTTCTTCATTTTTTCTCATTTTCCTTCATTTCTTCGTTTTCTCAAAACTCTTGATTATTCATTTTCTTTTCAATTTATCTTTTTTTTTCTTCTTCATTTCTTTCTTTTCTTCTTCATTTTTCTTTCATTTTTCTTTTTCATTCAATCTTCTCGCCATGCTATCGTTTTCTCACTTCCTACTCTTCTCAAAAAGTGACATATTCTTTTCTCATTTTCTTCTTCATTTCTTTCTTTCATTTATCTTTTTTCATTCAGTCTTCTCGCCATGCTATCGTTTTCTCACTTCCTACTCTTCTCAAAGTGACATATTCTTTTCTAATTTTTCTTCTTCATTTCTTTCTTTCATTTATCTTTTTTCATTCAATCTTCCCGCCATGCTATCGTTTTCTCACTTCCTACTCTTCTCAAAGTGACATATTCTGTTCTCATTTTTCTTCTTCATTTCTTTCTTTCATTTATCTTTTTTTCATTCAATCTTCTCGCCATGCTATCGTTTTTCTCTTCCTACTCTTCTCAAAGTGACATATTCTGTTTTCTAATTTTTCTTCTTCATTTCTTTCTTTCATTTATCTTTTTCATTCAATCTTCCCGCCATGCTATCGTTTTCTCACTTCCTACTCTTCTCAAAGTGACATATTCTTTTCTAATTTTTCTTCTTCATTTCTTTCTTTCATTTATCTTTTTCATTCAATCTTCTCGCCATGCTATCGTTTTCTCACTTCCTACTCTTCTCAAAGTGACATATTCTTTTCTCATTTTTCTTCTTCATTTCTTTCTTTCATTTATCTTTTTTCATTCAATCTTCTCGCCATGCTATCGTTTTCTCACTTCCTACTCTTCTCAAAGTGACATATTCTTTTCTATTTTTTCTTCTTCATTTCTTTCTTTCATTTATCTTTTTTTTTCTTATTCATCGTTTTCTCTTCTCTTCTCAATGACATATTCGTTCTCATTTTTTCTTCATTTCTTTCTTTCATTTATCTTTTTTACAATCTTCTCAATCGTGACATATTCTGAAATATTCTTTCTTTTTTTCTTCTTCATTTCTTTCTTTCATTTATCTTTTTTTTTCATTCAATCTTCCCCGCCATGCTATCGTTTTCTCACTTCCTACTCTTCTCAAAGTGACATATTCTGTTCTCATTTTTTCTTCTTCATTTCTTTCTTTCATTTATCTTTTTTCATTCAATCTTCTCGCCATGCTATCGTTTTCTCCTTCCTACTCTTCTCAAAGTGACATATTCTTTCTAATTTTTCTTCTTCATTTCTTTCTTTCATTTATCTTTTTCATTCAATCTTCTCGCCATGCTATCGTTTTTCTCACTTCCTACTCTTCTCAAAGTGACATATTCTTTTCTAATTTTTCTTCTTCATTTCTTTCTTTCATTTATCTTTTTTCATTCAATCTTTCGCCATGCTATCGTTTTCTCACTTCCTACTCTTCTCAAAGTGACATATTCTTTTCTAATTTTCTTCTTCATTTCTTTCTTTCATTTATCTTTTTTCATTCAGTCTTCTCGCCATGCTATCGTTTTCTCACTTCCTACTCTTCTCAAAGTGACATATTCTTTTCTAATTTTTCTTCTTCATTTCTTTCTTTCATTTATCTTTTTTTCATTCAATCTTTCCCGCCATACTATCGTTTTCTCACTTCCTACTCTTCTCAAAGTGACATATTCTTTTCTCAATTTTCTTCATTTCTTTCTTTCATTTATCTTTTTTCATTCAATCTTTTGCTATCGTTTTCTTTCCTACTCTTCTCAAGTGACATATTCTTTTCTAATTTTTCTTCTTCATTTCTTTCTTTCATTTTATCTTTTTCATTCAATCTTTCCGCCATGCTATCGTTTTCTCACTTCCTTTCTTCTCAAAGTGACATATTCTTTTCTCATTTTTCTTCTTCATTTCTTTCTTTCATTTATCTTTTTTCATTCAATCTTCCCGCCATGCTATCGTTTTTCTCACTTCCTACTCTTCTCAAAGTGACATATTCTGTTCTCATTTTTCTTCTTCATTTCTTTCTTTCATTTATCTTTTTCATTCAATCTTCTCGCCATGCTATCGTTTTCTTTTTCTCACTTCTTCTCAAAGTGACATATTCTTTTCTAATTTTTCTTCTTCATTTCTTTCTTTCATTTATCTTTTTCATTCAATCTTCCCGCCATGCTATCGTTTTCTCCTTCCTACTCTTCTCAAAGTGACATATTCTTTCTTATTTTTTTCTTCATTTCTTTCTTTCATTTATCTTTTTCATTTCTTCCCGCCATGCTATCGTTTTTCTCACTTCCTACTCTTCTCAAAGTGAAATATTCTGTTCTCATTTTTCTTCTTCATTTCTTTCTTTTCATTTATCTTTTTCATTTTTCCGCCATGCTATCGTTTTCACTTCTTCTCAAATGAAATATTCTTTTCTAATTTTTCTTCTTCATTTCTTTCTTTCATTTATTTTTCATTCAATCTTCTCAATCGTTTTCTCACTATTCTTTCTGACATATTTTTCATTTTCTTCTTCATTTCTTTCTTTCATTTATCTTTTTCATTCAATCTTCCCCGCCATGCTATCGTTTTCTCACTTCCTACTCTTCTCAAAGTGACATATTCTGTTCTCATTTTTCTTCTTCATTTCTTTCTTTCATTTATCTTTTTCATTCAATCTTCATGCCATGCTATTTTTTCTCACTTCCTACTCTTCTCAAAGTGACATATTCTTTTCTAATTTTTCTTCTTCATTTCATTCATTTTCTTTCATTGTATTTATCTTTTTTCATTCAATCTTCCCGCCATGCTATCGTTTTTCTCACTTCCTCTCTTCTCCAAAAGTGACATATTCTTTTCTAATTTTTTCTTCTTCATTTCTTTCTTTCATTTATCTTTTTTCATTCAATCTTCCCGCCATGCTATCGTTTTCACTTCCTACTCTTCTCAAAGTGACATATTCTTTTTCTATTTTTTTTCTTCTTCATTTCTTTCTTTCATTTATCTTTTTCATTCAATCTTCCCGCCATGCTATCGTTTTTCTCACTTCCTACTATTCTCAAGTGACATATTCTGTTCTAATTTTTCTTCTTCATTTCTTTCTTTCATTTATCTTTCATTCAGTCTTCTCGCCATGCTATCGTTTTCTCACTTCCTACTCTTCTCAAAGTGAAATATTCTGTTCTCATTTTTCTTCTTCATTTCTTTCTTTCATTTATCTTTTTTATTCAATCTTCCCGCGATACTATCGTTTCTCACTTCCCTACTCTTCTCAAAGTAGAAATATTCTTTTCTTATTTTCTTCTGTTTCTTTCTTTTCATTTATCTTTTTTCATTCAATCTTTTCCCTTTGCTATCGTTTTTCTCACTTCCTACTCTTCTCAAAGTGACATATTCTGTTCTCATTTTTCTATTTTTTCTTTCTTTCATTTTATCTTTTTTTCATTCTTTCTTTCCCGCCATGCTATTTCTTTTCTTTATTTATTTCAATTCTTATAATCTTTTCTAATTTTTCTTCTTTTTCTTTCTTTCATTTATCTTTTTCATTCAAATCTCTTTTAATTATCGTTTCCTCACTTCCTACTCTTCTCTTGACATTTTTCTGTTCTGTTTTTCTTCATTTCTTTCTTTCATTTATCTTTTTCCATCTAAATCTTTTCACGCCATGCTATCGTTTTCTCACTTCTACTTCTCAAAAGTGAAATATTCTTTTTTCTAATTTTTTTTATCTTTTCATTTCTTCTCCATTTTTTCTTTTTTTTTCCCTGTCTTCTCAAAGTGGCCTTCGTTCTAATTTTTTTTCTTCATTTTCTTTTTTCATTTTTTGAAATATTCTTTTTAATTTTTTCTCCATTTCTTTCTTTTCAGTGACAATTCTTTTTAATTTTCAAATCATTTTTTTTTTCATTTCTTTTTCATTCAA